GCACCCCAGAACTCAGCAGACCTTGAAACCAGAGATAGGCTGTCCCTCTCCAGAGCAACAGTCAGGGAACAGAGAAGAGAAGGCTTGGGCGTTCCCCAGAGGCTGCAAAATGCCCCAGTCAAGGGAGGGAACCAGGGGAGAGGGAGGCTTGATGATGTCTCTGAGGAGGAGGGACGGTAGTTAGATCAGGGAACAGCAAGAACCAGGGCAAGGGAAGGAGAGGGTAAAGGGAAGGGATGAAGGAAGAGAGGCGCAAAGAACCATAGGAGGGAGGAAGGGAGGGAGGAAGATGGGGAGATGGAGAGGGAGGGTCTCTGAAGGCCGGGAGAGGACCCAGATTTCCACTGAAAGACACATCCCAATCAGGGGCTGGGGCGGGAGGCCTCACTGCTGAGCCACCCTCGGGAGGACAGTGATCTAAACTCTAGTAAACACCTGTTAAACACACTGGGGTCCTTTGGGTATTTACTTTGGGGAAAGACAGACGAGGTTTCCGATCAGAAGGGTATGGTTTCCTGCTCTGTGGTCACCGCTCTTGTTTCCAGGGCAGGATGACTGTCCTGTCGGACACATTTCTCCTCCTGCTGGAGAAACAGCCTGGTGGACCCCCGTGGGCGCTCCCCTCCTTAGAGGCCAGCTAGTGACCCACCTGTGACCAGAGAAGGAGGGCCCCTTCCACAGAGTCTGACATAAAAAAGCAGTTAACTAAATCTACCCTCACAGAGCTAGCCTACTAAATCTTCAGGAGAGTTCAAGGACGGAGTTGGATAGCAAAGCTAGCATGATATGAAAATAGAGTGTGATATTAATTTCTCTGCTCTCCTCCTTTTTAGAGTCCCAGACATTCTGGAGACCTGTGTTTACTTCAACTGGTAGTGCAGATTTACAGAGATACATTAAGGCATGGTTATTAGCATTACTAAAGAATTTTTTTTAATTGGAGGAAAATTTTTTCTTAATACATATATTTTGTTGACTTACAATGTTTCCGGTGCACAGCAAGGTGATTCGGATATACATATATTATCTTCGATTATTTTCCATTATAGGTATTACAAGATATCGACTATACAAGAATGGGAGGCAAATTGCTTTACAATGTTGTGTTGGTTTCTGCCGTATCACTCAACTCAGTCATAATTACATCTATATCCTCTCGCTCTTGAACCTCCCTCCCCTCCCCCCATCCCATCCCTCCAGGTCATCAGAGAGTGCCAGGCTGGGCTCCCTGTGTTATATAGCAGCTTCCCACTAAGTATTTTAATACACTGAAGCACAAGCAAGATTTTCTTAAAGTAGTGTAGTCTCTAAAGGCATTTAAAATATGATTCCAAAATCCAAGACCTGTTAAAGAAGACAAGGTTAGAGGGAGTTTGTTGGTTGTCTTTCTCACATCAAGTTTCTACTTCCCTTTTCCTAATAGATACGGAATTTCCCAGCCAAGGAGTTTGGGTTGAATTGATTCCACCTTCCAGATCTGGGAGAAGACTCTGACGGACTTAATTCAATCATAATAAGCGCCCCCCACCCCGCCCCGCCACCGCTTTCCCCCTCACACTGATTGGTTAAGAATAAGCACCTGAACACAGGCCAATCAAAGCCAGTGTGGCTGAATTAGAGGATTTTTGTTAAGAGTTGAAGCAGTGCCGCCTTATTGATGTCAAGAGGCATGTGTGCTAGGTTTTTCTGTTACTTGCAACCAAGACATCTTATTAAAAACGAAATCTACCAGGTAAAGGATAATACAGATATCTAAAACTTTTCACTGATCGTTTGAACTTGGAGTTTCATTTTCATAGTGAACTCTCATGAGGAACCACAAAATACTGACAAGACCCACTAGAGGTCTATGGAAAGGAATTGGGTTCTTTCCTCCCCTTGAGAGCTTTGCTCTCCTCCCTTCCCCCTTCCATCACCTCCTCTCTCTCCTGGCATTTTCCAGGCAAGAGTACTGAGGTGGGTTGCTATTGCCTTCTCCCTTCCAAAGGAAACACTTGGGTAAATCTTATGCACTGAAGACTACATTGGTTCAGCAGGAGGTGATGAGAATTTCAGTTTCAGTTGCCTCATGCCCTAACGTGTTAGTAATCTAGATTTTTTTTTCCTTTTGTAGGTAATATACACCATAACCCCTTAATATCTGTCATTAGCTGCCATTATTAGCCCGTGAAGAAGCACAGCCAGCCTTAATTCCCTACCTGCTAGGTGAACCCTGAGCAGGTGGCAGTACCAAACAGCTGCAGCAAGTGTAATTACACTTTGCCTGCCTTCACGTTGTCTGCCTTCAGGATCATGGAGCCTGTTTTGAATGCTCTGTGTGTGCCTCATCACAGAGCAAATATTTGAAAATGTCTGTTCATGCTGCTGCTGCTAACCTAATTGTTTTTGGTATCTGGTTAAATCCCACTCGGCACACATCTGGTGTATATTACCTGGCAGAGTTTCCCTCTATCCATAACGCCCCCTCCCTCGCCTATTATGGGATTGCTGGGAAGTTGCACTGGATCTTGGTCCAATCTTTCAGCAGTTCAATTTCACAAAGTCTGCATAACCTATTGTGCTCGGTGCTTGAGATGGAACTAGCCCCACAAACGTTGCTTTGATTTTGTTCATCCCACCTCCCACCCTCAGCTGCAGGGTCCCTGGAACAACTTGTTAACTCCCACGGTGCCATCAGCACCTTCACTTTCACCCCCCACCCCCGCCCCTCAAGTAATAGGGACTTAGAGACCTGTGTGTAGCTGCCTTCTCCAGTTGAGGGAGTACAGGCCATCTGCTAAGTTTGGTGTTGCTCTCCTGGTTTTGCTCCCTTGTTGTTGTTTTTAAATATTTATTTTTATAAATAAGGCTTAGTTGTCCCGCTGCATGTGGGATCTTAGCTCCCTGAGCAGGGATCGAACTTGTATCCTCTGCATTGACAGGCAGACTCTCAACCCCTGGACCAGTACATAAGTCCCTCCCTCCCTTGTTGACTATATTGTTTCAGAGGTTTGGGGGTGGATGCTTCACAGATCCAAAGTTCAGGCAGCTCGTAAACACTGGGCATGTTGTCAGCTCTCACAGCACTGGCAGTGTGTTCCAGGGGGGTTCCTCTGGGACAGAGGCCCATGTGAGCCACGTGGCCACAGTAGTACCTGAGATCTGAATTACAGGACCCTGCTCATCAACACACACACACATACACACATTTATCAAAACATAGGCACCTCTGTCACTGGAGTTCTGGCACTGGGTGCTGGCTCAGTGGAACTATAACCTGCTGATGCTTGAAAGTAACACTATTTTAAGTCCGTGTGTGCTTGGGTTTAAGATAAAAAAAAGGTCAACTTGTCAAATCCTTTTCAGAGTACATTGAAGGCAATGATGTCCTCCATTACAAAGTATTGTTTCCCAAGGCTGGGAATCATTCAGTTTCTTGCTGCTTTTCACTGTTCTCATTTTTGGCCCCAGAGGTACTCAAGAATTAGCCTGGTGTTGTAGCAGTTACACCCAGCAACTGAGAAGTGGCAACAATTCACATTACTCTTAAATTTGAGATGAATGTTGGGAATACTGTACTCTACAGGATGGCACAGACTATAAAAATAAGTGATAGCCACTTACAGTATGAAATTATATTATTTTGGAAAACTTTTTGTGATCATTTATCTTATTGATTCCATTATAATGCTGGACATAATACTTAGAATTCATGGGTTATTTAGAAACCTGAACATCATTTTAAGTTTTACAAACAATTTCAGTGGTGAAATTGTTTGACCAAGTGGCTTGGTCAAAGTTTCTCCAAACTGAATTTAATAAACTACACTTAAAGAATAACGATGATTTAAGAAAGGTGGTTTAATTATACATTAAGATCATAATCTTGATTGTAACAGCATACATAATTGATTTTGCTAAAATAAAAGAGGCAAAAGTTAATTTATGGAAATTCACAAAAACTGATTTATGGATTGTCTCCCTAATATTAACCTCCAACACACACCATCAGCCCATCATCAGAATTTCGTAAGTAATGGCTAAATTCAGTCATCTTCAGCGTTTTACTGACTTTTCGGTCCTACGGAAACTGCAGATTTATAGTCCTTTTTCTGTTGCATTGATATGAAAGTGTAATTGTTAGGGTTAGAGTATAACGCAATTGAACAGCTGAATTTATAACTTAAATATTAGGTGTTTGCTATCTGAGCCCCTATTTGTTTCCTTGCCCCACGGTCCGGAGTGGGTGGGTGGTCAGACCCAGGCCCTCGACCCTCTAGTTCTTCAACTGTGAGCTCCGGCAGCCTTCAGGCAGGTGCCCCGGGCGCCGCCCCCACCGCCCACCTCCTCAGGGATTGGCTTCCGCGGCTAGTGGGCGGTCCCAGGGTGCCGATAAAGTTGGGCGGCGCGCGCGCCGCCTGCGTGGGGTTTCGGGCACCCGGGGTAAAAACGCTGCGCGCTCTCGCCGCGGCCCGGGTGGAGTTCCCAGTTTGGTCTCCGAACCCGCTCGCCCTCATCCAGCTTCCCCGCGACTCCTGGGTCCGGTCCTTTTGGAGGAGGGGGTCAAGGGCCGGGCCTCGGAGCCTCGAGCGCGTCCGAGCAGGCTCAACGCGCTGGCTCCGGGCTGCCGGGCGAGGGGCGCGGTGTGAGGGCCGGGGCTCGGGCGGCGCGCGGGGGCTGCAGGAAGCGAGGGCAGCCGGAGCTCGGCCCCCGCTCCGCCCGTGCAGAGACACCCGGAAACGGATTCACCGCTTCAGTGGCCGTGCGAGCCGGGAGCCTCGGAGGGGGGCGGGCGGCTGCTGAGTAATCCCCGCGGCGGCGGCGGCGGCGGCGGCGGGAGGCGGTGGCCTTGGCGCCCACGTCCCCGCCGCGCGCGCTGCAGCCCGGCCCCGGCTCCTCCCTCCGCGCCCGCCCACCGCGCCCGCGCCCCGCGCAGGTAGAGCCGGGCTCCGGGCGCGCGCGGGGGCCGCAGCGGCTGCCACCCCACCTCGCCTCGGCCCCGCGCAGAGCCTCGCGCGCCCATGGCCGGCTCGGAGCAGCAGCGGCCGCGGCGGCTGGACGACGGAGACGCGGCGGCGGCGCCCCTGCAGGACGCGGAACTGGCCCTCGCCGGCATCAACATGCTGCTTAACAACGGCTTTCGGGAGTCGGACCAGCTCTTCAAACAATACAGGTGACCGGCGCGCCCCGCTCCCCCGCCCCCTCCTGGCGGTCACTACTCCCTGGCGGGTCCTCGCTTCCCGAATCGCATCCCCCGGCCTCTGCGCCTTGGCTCCGTCGCCCTTCCGCCCCCACCCCGGCTCCGCGGTCCTCTCTCTCTGCGGGACCCGCAGTCTCCCCTGACTTTCTCCCGGCCTCGTCCTGCCAGAGGAGCGCCCGGTGTCCGTCCGCTTCTCTCTAGCGGGTCGCGTCCCCCGCCGCCGCGTCCGGAGCCCGTGGGCTTTGAGATCTGGACCGGACGCGATTCGAGGCGGCAGCGAGCCCCGGACTTGCAGGGCCGTGACTCTGGCGAGGCGCGCCGCCCGCGCTGCCTTTGTGACACGGACCACACCAGCCGCAGCGTGCCTGCTTCGTGCTCCCCGCGTTACTGTGCATCGTTGTGCTTTCCAGACGCTTTCATTGTTTGAAAACAGATATGCACAACTGCCTGGCCATGAAAGAATTAAAAAAAATCCAGCCAAACTCTGCTCATTCACCTCTCTCTGCCTTTTTTCTCAAACTCAGTCCGCAAAATGAGTTGCTAATGCTTTTCAAGCAAGCGTATGTATTTATGATGGATTTCTCTAACTCAGAGGTAGAAAAAAATGGAGGGATTTTAAACATACGTAGGAGAGAGAGGAAGCACATGTGTGTTCAGTTAATTGTTTTATTCGTCGTCGTAAAAAAAATTGAAGCGAAAGAACTGAAACCTCGTAGCTTTCTCGTGTGTGGGGGGGGAGGAGCCTTCAATTTCTTTGCGGAGCAGAAGAACCTGCTTTCTGGTTTAGGAAACAAGTTTGTGATTTGCCCTTTTAGTATCGACAGGACTCAAGGATGTTGATTGGCAGCTTTCCTGTCAGTGTTTTAAGGACCAGTTGCTGCGGGTCTTTAGGGCTGGTGTTTGGTAGGAATTAGGGAACTCCTGTGTAGCTGTGATTGAGCGCCACGGCCTGTAAGCAAATAAGAGGAGAGCCCAGCCCGTGGGATGCAGGCGCCTGAAGTTTTCAGACATAAAAGAATGGTGGTTTCTACCGTTGGGAGCGTCCACAAACTTAATGGCAAAGCGAGTATCTCACAACTATAAACTTTTTCACTAAGACATTTTACTTTTAAATCAGTTTTGAAAAAAAAACCCCGCAAATCAAACTTCTTAGCTCTATTCAGAACATTTTATTTTAAAGCATACAAATCTGATTTCAAGCCAGAGTTTCATCAGGGATTTCTAGAGGATAGATTTAAAAGACTTGTCTCGCACTCTCTTGTACAGGGTTTTTTGTGGTTTTTTTTTTGAGCAATCTGAGATTGTATTTAATGAAAAATTTTATTTACTGTGCTTTGGCTTTTCCAAAAAGACACACTAATTTATGTTGTATGAGAGGGGGTCGAGAAAGTCTTAAGAGTCAAGTTTGTTTTCTTTGGTTGTTGATCAAGATATGGGTACTTGCATATTTCAATACTTCTTGTTTTGAAATGTTCTGTTACTTATTTTAATGATTCCCCCCCAATTGCTTTAATGTACTTAAATTCTTATCTCATGGTTCCCATATACTGAAAGCATGAAATAACTCACTTTGCCTCATTTAGACAACTCTGTGCTCTGTTGTGTTCAGTCATGTCTGACTCTGCAGCCCATGGACTGTAGCCTGGCAGGCTTCTCTGTCCTTGGGATTTCCCAGACAGGGATGCGGGTGGGTTGCCATTTCCTCCTCCAGGGGATCTTTTCCTCCCAGGGCAGGGACGGAACCTCTGTCTCCTACTTTTCCTGCATTAGCAGGTGGATTCTTTACTGCCGAGCCACCGGGGAAGCCCCTATGCACTATTACTGGAGGGTGAGTTCTGAGTGCTAGGGAAGGCGTTTCTCTGCGAGTGTTGGGGGTGAGGGGAGGAGGTGGTGTCCAGGCAGGATTTCCACTGCATAGCTAGGCGCTGTGGCTGTCTGCTTGTGTTTTGAAATGGGAACCAAGGAGAAAGGAACACGATGATGTATTTCTTCTCTGCCAAGCATATTTCCTTATATTTGAGCTATTCTAGTGATGACAAGGAGTGAGATGTATTTCATCCTCACAGTGTTTTTAGTTACGAGGCACTCGGCTTCTCAGCGTTTAGCATGGGCCAGGACACAAGCCCTGTGGTTCTAAATCCAGGGCTCTTTTCATTAAACCATTCTGACTGTCTGACCTGATTGATTATATATTTTGTAACTTGCCCAGTGACTTTGCCAGCAGCTTAAACTCTTTTAGGGGTGGATAGTAGTAGCATCATCCTGTCAGCCTTCCAGCAGCCAGGGGATGCCCTAGTTTTGCTACTTTTGTAGCTGCTGGCTTTGGTTTCTCAGTTTGCTTACTTGCCTGTAAAATGGGAGTCGTGCACACCATAGGGTGGTTAGTATTAGAATCCACGGTAGCTAGCAACGTGTAAGCCATCAAACACTAGCCAGCTTTTGAACTTGATGCCTTCTCCACTCCTACTGTGCGTTCTCCTTGATGGCGTAGTTTGAGTAGAAGACAAAACGTCCTGAATGCAGGTGGCCTTTCTCTTTAAAGTTAGCCTGGCCTGTGTGCATGCTCAGCCATGTCCGACTCTCTGCTACCCCGCAGGCTGTAACCTGTGGGTTCCTTTGCCCATGGGACTGCCTCAGCAAGAATACTGGAGTCGTGTGCCATTTCCTTCTCCAGAGGATCTTCCCAACGGAATGATCGAACCCACACCACCTGCGTTGTACTAGGGTTCTTTATCACTGCCGAGCCACCAGGGAAACCCTCACATAATGCATTTCAAAGACTTAGGTCCTACTACACATTGGGACACTTCTCTTCCCTTTCCAGTGTTGAATGGCCTACTGGAAAACACAGCAGTGATTTCATACCTGTTTGAGGAATACCTCTAACGCAGTTTATTTGCAGAAGAGAACAACTTGATTATCTCATTCCTTAGGATTTTTCTGTCACCACCCTTCCCTTTCCAGTAAACATTCTGGAATTGTATCATTACGGTTTAACAATAGAAACATTTGTGTCTAGTGTAACAGTAACACTGTAAGAAAATTAAAGCAAGAAGGTCACTTTCTCTTGCCACATTCCTAGGATGATAAAGTTTCACCAGCAGCTACCTAATGAGAAATGATTACTTTGTAGAAACATTATAGTGAAGGTCATTCTGAATTAGTGGAAAGCTGGGGTTGTATAATTTAGGTATTGTAAAGATAGGAACATGGGCTTCCCAGGTAGCTCAGTGGTAAAGAATCCGCCTGCCAGTGCCGGAGACACACGGGTTCGATCCCTGGTTTGGGAAGATCCCCTGGAAGAGGGAATGGCAACCCACTCCAGTATTCTTGCCTGGAGAATTGAATTGACAGAGGAGCCTGGCAGGCTACAGTCCATAGCAAAGAGTTGGATGTGACTGAAGCAACTTGGCATGCATGCACATGCACAGTAGAGGCTTTCCCTTGAGATATAAGACTCCATAGCTGGAGTTTCAAAATGTAGCTGTCACTTCTGTTGTAACTACAGTAATAATATAACAAGCTGCCCAGCTGTTGATGTTGAGTCCCCATCATGCGCTTGGAGATGTTTTCGCAGAGGTTGAGGCAGATTGGTGCTCATTTAAGCCCAAGAATATACCTTTGTAAGTGTGTGATCCTCACTCTCCAAAATCACGTTCTTTGTGTTGGTCTGGGGGCTCCGTGCTGTAACCCAGCAGTGCTCACTCCCCTTCCTACACACACACACACACACACACACACACTTTTAACTGATGTTCCTGTGTGTGATACACACTCAGACCTTTAGGAACTCAGACTTGTGACCAGAGGCTGTGGTTATGTGCATGAGGCAGGCGCACTAGATTTTTAGGTGTTGAGTTGCAGGTAAGCTTGGCTGGTGGGGAGAATCTGGAGATGTAGCCATGGCTGTTGTGGCCTGTAGGACTAGAGAGAAGCAACCGGTAACCCAGCTTGAAGGAAAATCTTAGAGAGGAACTGAGGCTGAGCACTGATGGGGTGGAAGTGAGCCAGTTGAAAGAGAAGGCCTTGGGGGAAGGGTGGGGGAGGAGGAGAACGTGAGCGGAGGTGGGTGGACATGGAACTCGGAACTCGAGGAGAGAGATGTGGGTTGGCATCTGGAGAAGGGGGGTGAGACCTGCCAGCTGATCAGTGTTATTAGGTTGTCATGTCGGATGGGTTTTCTACACTTGTTTTCTTCTCAGATCTGCTGTTTGGTCCACGTTTCCTGTGAGTCAGTGTTGTCTTTCAGGGTGTTCAGTTATCTCATGTTCTCCATTGCCTTCACCCATCACAGTGTGGCCCTCACATCTGTAGTTAACACCCAGCTGCTCGGGCCTCAGGGTCCTGATGTCACCATCTCTTTCTCTTTGGGGCTTGAGGTGTTACTTTTGTAATCGGCAGACTAGGAGGAGAGGTGAAACTCTGAACTCTAAGGAGGACAGGAGACATTTGGAGCTCCTGAGCCAAAGAGCTTTGCGGTTCTTATTTCACAGGACTGGCATTTACTGTCCCTCTGCCCCTTGAGGCCACCATCTCCATCTCCTGCTTTAATTCCTGGCATTCTTTCTGACCCTAAGACATCTGCACTATTTACCCCTGCCAACCCGACTGCCACTTTCTGGCTGTAGATATAATTAAGAAGTCCTCTTTGGTCATTGTTAGATCAAACAAAAAGCATATAACAGAATGAATGATCACTGATGATAAATATGCATAAATAAGGGCTTCATAGAGAATTAGTGCATAGTTGGTATTATGAATTGATATTTTTCTTTTCTGTCTTAAAGTATAAAAATGGCAAAAAAGTATTAAAAACAAAAAGCAACAAAAACTCATGTTTAAAATGAATGTATGGGTCCTAAATTGTTTTAACAGTTTATGGCACATACACTCAAACCATATTACACGTGGCCTTGTTTCTGAGCAGGTTGATTATAGAGCCAGTCTCACTGTAGAGATTGCTCACTATAATT